CTGTGTTACAAGAAATACTAAAGGAAGCATTAGAAGGAGTAAGATACACAAAGAAATACAGTCGTGTTGCTTAATGATGGTGATACATTCTGAGAAATGCATGGTAGGTGATTTTGTCGTTATACGAACATCATAGAATATATTTACATAAACCTAAGAGTACAGCCTAGGCTATATGGTACTAATCTTACGGGACCACTATCGTACACGCGATTGACTGAAATGTTATGTGACACACGACCGTAAGGAGTACCGAAAACGGTTACAAAAAAAAAAGACGGTAAAATGAAGACTTTTTAATAACTTTACAAGACGATTGTCTAAAGCAAAAATATTAATAATGCATTACGAGGTTTCTAAGTAAAAATGTTTGACTACAATATCACAGAGTGGGAGAGAGGAATAGAAGTATACTCTTATAAGATTGTAAGGCTACATGTAAAATAGTATAATGTCATTTGAATTAGACTGTGATAAGCTGAAGACGTATAATGTGTACTTGACAGAGATTGCATTGCCCAAGTGGCTGAACTGGACCCACGGAGGCTCTGGCTTCCCCAGTAGCAGTCTGATGCAATAGGGCAACCACTTAAAACATAAACTAAAATGGAGGTGATACTAACAAGTAAATAGTAGAGATAAAGCAAAATAAAAATTCTCCACTAATCAAAAAGAGATAAAAAGAAGAAAAAAGGGAAAAAAAGAACAGATAGGACAAATAGGAAACAAGCAGCAAAATAACAAATTTGAGTCCAAACATATAAAAATTATGTTAAATTTAAGTGATTGAAATATTCCAATTAACAAGTAGAGGTTTTCACATTAGACAAAAAAGACCCAACCAAGTGTTATCTGTAATAATTCCACTTTAAATATAAATAGGTTAAAACTAAAAAGATGGAAAAAGATATACCATGAAAACATTAATTAAAAGAAAGCTGGAGTAGCTATATTATCAAAGTAGACTTCGCAACAAAGAGTACTACCAGGTATAGAGAGAGACATTACATAATCATAAACGGGTCAGTTCATCAAGAGGACATAAAGATCCCAATATATGTGCACTTAACAATTCTTCAAAATTCATAAAGCAAAAACCAATAGAACTGAAAGGAGTAAAAAACAAACGCGACAGTATAGCTGGAGACTTCAACACTGCTTTCTTACTGTGTCAATGACAAAGCTTTTAAATATTATACCCCCACCTGATTTTCCCATTAGCCCTGAGATTTTCAATACACTATTTTGTATAGAGCAGTGATTTTTTAGGAATGCACATATTTTTCTAACAGAATTCACTGTATCAGTATACCTTCACTTCTTTCCACTTGTTTTTAGCCTGTCATCAAAACAGATAGAACCTTTCTGTGTTGCCTAGATTTGTAACTGTTACGTTCTCTTCTGTTATCTAATTTCCACCTTTGCTTTAAAATTAGTTCTTCAGTTAAATTCAGAGTTCACCACCAATCTTTTTACTGTGCTTTTTTTGTCACTTCTTGACTATCTGATATTCATCCTCTAACTGAGGCTTCTGGGAACAAAGGTTCAGAGTTCCTACCTATTCGAAATAGATTTGCTCTTTTTTAAAAAAAAAAAAAACATCTTTTCAACTGGGTATAAAATTCTTAATCTGACTCCCTGAGGATTTTGTAGGAATTGCTCTGTTGATTTTTAGCAGCAAATTTTGCTATGGAAAAGACTGAAGCTAGTTGGACTTTTTCTTCTTTACTGGCTGTCAAAATGATCCTTTGTCTTTGAAATCTAGTAACTTTGAAATCTTTATTTTACTAGGCTACATTATGATGTTCACTATTTTAGCTCCATTACCCTGACTGAAGGTTTGCCCTCTTAAGTAGATTCAATTGTACTGGTTTTTCTCCCTCCAAAAAAGAGTTCTTGGAATATTTAAAATACTTGTCCTATTTCTTTGATTTCCTATTTTGGGGAATGAATTGTAAGTATGATATTTATATGGAATCTCTTTTATTCTTTTTTATGTAATCTTCAAGTTTTATTTATCTCAGTTTCTCCTTGCTCACTTTCCTCATTTATTTTTGAATTTCAGCAGTCCCTATTCTTCCTTGGGATTCTTCCACTTTGCCTTCTTTACTATGATTTTATTTCCTGTTACAATTCTTTTCTGAGTTTGACATCCCACAATTCATTTTCTACCATTGCCTTATTAACATCTTTCTTGTATCACAGAGGTAAACAATTCAATTAGTTCTCCTTTTTGAAATTCATGGTTTAACATTTGGTCACATTATTTATATACTTTATGACCACTTTGATCAGATGACAACTCAATCACCTACTATTTTTTTTCTGAATTTTTTCATTCCTTTTTTTCTTGAGAGTTTGTATGCATTTTGTGCTGGCATGAGCTAAGGGACAGCTCACTGCATGAGGTTTACCTGGGAGAGAGAATAGAGCCATGTCTTTACGCTAACAGGATAATTCCTCTTGAACAAGTGTTTTGCCCATGTACCAGACTCAGTTTATAGATCAACCCAGATCTGCCTTCCTATCTCACCAGAGTAGCTTCAGCAATGGCTTGTTCTGTTGGTAAACATGAAGCCAGGTCACTGGGGTTGGCACTGCTGCAGCTACCGACTGAGGAACACCAAGTATTGTGCTGAGTTCACAGAGACTACACATTGCCCCAGTGGCTGAACTGGACCCAAGGAGGCTCTGGCATCTCCAGCAGGTGCCAAGAGAGTCTGATGTAATTGAGAAATGAGAGGGAGTTAAAACTGTACAGAACAGCCTTATCTAATGGGAGAGACGAACAAGAAGACAGCAGATACATCATTTTCCCTTCCACCTTTCTGACAGGCTGTTCCGGAACGCAGTGGCTCACATGAAGACTCTGAAGATATCTCGCTAGACTGAGCAATCAGATATGCTTATTAGAGTGCTAACTAAGCTCTTTATAGCTAACTAAGTAATTGCCCCCTTGTACTTTCCCTTCCTCCTAACCAGCCTTACTCCCCCATGCCCTCATTTTTGTAGGTCTGCACATCCTGACCAATTGTTATCAAGTAAGATTTTGCTTCAGAGTCTGCATTCTAGAATACCCACTAGGATAGCATGTAAGTTTATTTCTCTGTATATAGGCGTCCGTGAGGTTTTTTTCCCCAAATGGAAAGTCTCTTTTCTTGTACTGTCATAGAAACAGAGTGCTACTGAAAAATATGGCTTGCATATCTGTTTCCACACTTAACCCTAATATATCTGCTTTGCAAAACTCAAGTGTATCCAAGGAAGGTCCAGCTATCCTGTGCACAGCATCGCTGTTACTCTAAAGATTTAGCTTCCCACAGCTCAGACTACGTACTTTGTCCCTGAAAAGTACTTTGCCAGTTCCTTTGAGTATCAGAAATGCTCTTATTTTCTATCCATCTGCTGATACATACACTCCTGCTTGATTTTTTCAGTGATTTTGCAGCTTTTACACTTGTATTGATTTGGGATTTCAGATATCCTCTAGTGTCATAAAATGGAGTCTCTGTTGCTCATTTTCCTTAATGTTTCTGAATGATTTGCAGGCACAGAGAGAGAAAATGCTGACTTACACCTCCTCCTTCAAAGAAGTTCACTCTCCTTGAAACACTACCCTCACTTGACTCCAGGATACCGCATTCCCTGTCTCCCCCTCACCCCTAAATTGCTTCTTCTCTGCTCTTTGCTGAGTTTCCTCACTTTCACGACTTCTGAAAGATAGTGTCCTCAGGGAGCAACCTTAAGACCTCTCAAATCTGTCCCTTCCTTCCCCTAAGGAGAGGATATCTAATCCCTTAGCTTTAAATACTAAATTTAAAAACTTTAAATATACCATAAGCTGGTAATTTACATCTACATATACCAAATATAATTTATATATCTAATTTATAATTTTTATTTACCCAATAAATTACCTCCAACCTAGACTCTTTCCCTAACCACCTCTGCTTATACATCCAAATGCTTATTCACATGTAAACTTAGATATTTTATAGTCATCTGGAACTTGGTATGTGCAACTGAAACTCCTAATATCCCTGCAAAACTGTTACTCCCCAAAATTCCATCTTGGCAACTGGAACCTATTCATCCAATTGCTGGACAAGGTCTTTGCAGTCAGTCTTTACTCCTCTCTTTCTCTCACATCCTTTAACTAATTCAACAGCAAATCTTATAGGCCCCACTTTCAAAACAGGTCCAGAAGCCAATTGCTTTTAATCTTTGTCACCACTTCCACCCAAGGGTAAGCTACCATCACCTTCTCATAGATTGAAATACTGTCCTGACTGATGTTCCTGCCTTCATCCCTCTGCCCCCTATATTATTTTCTTTGCCCACCAGCCAGAGAAATCAATTTAAAAGATAAAACAGCACATGATGCTTATCAGGTAAAATTATACTAACTGCTTCTCATTTCACTCAGAATAAAATCAAAGTCCTTATCATGGCCCAATGGCCCTATATAATTTGAGCTCCCATTACCTCTATAATGCCAACTCTTACCACTCTTCACACACTCATTTCCCCCAATCCACACTGACACTTGTGAGTGCTCAAAAACATTAAATACATTCCTGCCTCGGTGGACTGACATTTCATGTTACTTCTGCCATCAAGACTCCCCATGATTCTCACCCTCATTTCAATCAAGTTGATATCATCAAAAAGGCCTTTCTGAAGCTCCTTTCAAATGTATAACACTGCATCATATTTAACCTTCTTTAATTTCCTTGCTATTTTATTGGCATATTATATGTGTGTATATACGTGTTCTTGTTTCTTTTTTATCTTTCTCTCCTTATCAGAACATAAGTTCCATGAAGTCAAAGACAAAATGTAGTTCACTGATGTATTTCCAGCACCTAAAACTTTAGTGACACACAGTAGGTACTCAATATTTGCTGAATGGAAAATGAACATACGAGCAAACACTTGAGAATAAAAAGACTGCGCACCATGTCACCCAGTGTCCATCTGTTTAATACTCACTAACTCACCTGGGTGGCTCTGGCTTGAGGACTCTTCCTCTAATATCCAGAGCTGTTCTCCCCGTTCCAACTTGAAGATCACTTCCGGTTTAGGGATGCAATATCCTGTAAATGGGAAATGACATGAATTAGGCTAGGCTCATGGACCTCAGGGCCTCTGAAGAAGACAGAAAATGAAGCTTCAGGGGCCAATTTCAATCTTGAAAAAGAAAACATTCTTCATGGAGTCTCAACAGTCCTTCTGCTTAACACCCTGAATCTCAAACTTAAATATCATTAAATTCAACAAAGTTCCCACAGTTTTCAGCAACCAAGAAAGGATGTGCACACTAGGAGTCTACATGGAAAACAGTCCCTACCCACTGAGACGAGGTGGCTGTAGTTCTCCAGCATCACGTCCCTGTACAGGGTCCTCTGAGCAGGGTCCAGGTGCTGCCACTCCTCCTGGGTGAAGCCCACAGTCACATCCTCAATTGATAAGGATCCCTGAAACAGCATATTTACGTTCCAATTTAAGTAATCAGAACTGGAAGACATGAAAAAGCTGTATGAGAACTGTTATGATGCTCACTATTTAGAGGTACCAGAAACTGTGTTTTTGGGATGTTGACTTTTATACTATACTTGCTTAGAGAAGAAGAAATCATAAAAGATATTCCCCACCACTGTAATAAGTTATCAGTATCCCACTATGTGCCTATGTGCCATAAAGAACTCTCCTACTTTGGGAGAATTTGAAGACAAATAAAACAATGTTACCGTTCTTAAGGAGCATTAGTTTGATAAACAGACACAAACATATAAGCATACAACACAATAAGATATTACTATTGCGAAAAGATGTGCAAAGGTGACTGAGGTTACAAAGGGGCAAAAAGTTCTATTCCTGCTATTTGGGTGGTTTTGTTCACTGAAGAGGTAAAGCTTTGAGTTGTTAAACAATAACAGAGTAACATTCATGAACCTGGGGCAACAGTATAACCACAGACACATCTCAAATATGTAGTTAAAGGAAAAGCAATCAGCACATAGGAGGGTACTTTATGGGACTATGACAAGATAAAGAGCTAAAGAGGTATTCAGGCAATAAGTTACTGAATAATTTTGGACACAACTCCTATAGAATATGGGTGTCCAAAATATTCAGTTACTCTTCCATCTGGGAAAAGTTTTTATTTATAAATTGTAAACTTATATTGTCAATTTATATATTAAATTTCATTCTTATGTTTTTAGATTAAAATAAATGTAAGTAGGCATCTGAACATTTTCTTCTCAAATGCGAATGGACTATCTTACAGCTCCTACATTACATATCCCTCACTTAGGAGATGACTACTGTGGATAATCATGAGCCAACAGACATAAGCAGAGACAGAGAAGAAGTATCATTCCCAGGTTATCAAAACAAATAGCTTGTAAATACTCATGGCATATACTGAGAATTGCAAAAGAAGAAGTCAAATATTAGGTAAAAAAAACTGGTCAATTGGAAATAATAGGTCAAATAGAGTAAAAATGAACTAGTGCAATAAAGCAAGAAAATGATATAAAAATTATAAAGATTAGAAAAGAATAAATAAAGCTGTTATTTGAAGATGTCATAACTCTTTATGAAGAAACTGCAGAGACATCTACAGACTAATTACTAGAACTAAGAAGTGAGCCTAGCAAGTTTTTGGATGCAAGGTCAATATATAAAAATCAACAGGATTTCTGGATACCATCAACTAATTGATAGTTTTAAAGTACCACTTACAGTAATATCAAAAACATGAAATACTTAAGTCTAACAAAACATTGTCCAAGACTATTACACAGAAATTATAAAGGATTATTGACAAAAACAAACAAATGAAGGGATATACTATATTCATGGATTGGACAACTCAATATTATAAAAATCTCAATTCTCCCCAAATGCGTTTATAAAGTCAAGACAATCCTTATCAAAAACTTAGCAGACGTTTTTGTAGAAACTGACAAGTTGATTCTCAAACTTATATAGAAATTCAAAAGTTCAAGAATAGACAAAGCAATCTTGGAGAAGAAAAATTAACTGGGTAAATTCACACTAATTATGGTAGGCAGAATTCTAAAATGACCTCCAATGACCCACACCCTTATATAATCTCCTCCTTTCTAGTATGGGAGAGACTTGTGTTCCTGTGATTATGTTACATTCTAAGGCAAAACAAATTTTGCAAGTATAATTAAGATCTCTTAATCAGCTGGCTTTGAGTCAATTAAAAGGGAGATTGCCTTGGGTGGGCCCAACCTAATTAGGTGAGTTTTTTTAAAGAACGTAAAATATCAGAGATGCTTCTACTGGCCTCAAAGAAGCAGCAAACTACTGTGGGTTCTACAGCTACATAGAAATGAATTCTGTGACATGTATGGAAGGGACCACAAGCCTCAGATAAGGAGTCCCTGGTGACACCCTGATAGCAGACTTATGCCTAAGGAGAGGACCTTGCTAACCTAGTCCCAGAATCCTAACCCACAGAAACTATGAGATAATAAATTTCTGTTGTTTTAGACTGCAAAGTTTGTGGTAACTTATTATGAAGTAGTAGAAAACTGACATACTAGTGGATATAAAGATTTATATAAAGTTAAGAGTAATAAGAGAAGTTGGTATTGGTGAAAGAATAAAGAAAGACCAATGGAACCAAATTTATAGTCTAGAAACAGACTCACAAATATGGACACCTAGTTTATAAAAAAAAGTGTCACAGTAGAACAATGAGAAAAGGACTGTCTTTTCAATAAACCATGAAGGATTAAATGGTTATCCATATGGAAAAAAACAAACGACTTCAATCTCACATAATATGTGAAAATTAATTCCATATGGATTTTAGATTGAAATGTGATCAGTAAAACAAGAGAACTTTTAGGTAATAACACAGAAAACTATCTTCATGACCTTTAGACAAGCAAAGATCTTTTAAGCAATACACCAAAAATACTAACCATTAAGGAGAAGATTGAAATACAGTGGACCACATTAACATTAAGAACTTCTATTAATCAAAGGGAAACCATAAATTAAAAAAAAAAAGTAAATCAGACAGTAGGAAATTTGGCAACACACTGAACTGATAAAGGGATTATTCCAGAATATATAAAATACTCCTAAAATAAATAACAACAAGACAACCTAATAGAAAAACGAGAAAAGGACTTGAACAGTCACTTCACAAAAGAAGACATTCACATGACCAATAAACATGCCAAAACGTGCTCAACCTAAATAGCCAACCACTGGATGAAAGGTTACTGGGAAAGAGGACATTCATATAGTCTCAAAGTTTCACCTGACAAACTATTAGTTTACTAAAGGGTGGAAAGAACATCTACTTTTCAGATGGAGATGTTTGATGGCATTACCAATAATGGTACAATCTGACCTTATAAGAAGCATGTAATAAATGGAAATAATAAAAATATATAATCTGAATCTAATCATGAGGAAAAACATATAAGTCAAATACAGATGTGAGGAGCATTCTACAACAGTGCTTCTCAACATGGTTGCACTGCCTGGGTGTCACCCCTGGGTTTCTGACTTAACTGATATGGAGTATAGCCTGGGTATAGGAATATTTAAAGAGCTCCAGATGATTCTAAAGCATAGTTAAGTTCAAGAATAACTACTCAACAGGACATGTGACCAGGACTTTTTAAAAACATCCATATTATGAAAGAATACAAAGGCATGATCTTTGATTGAATCTTGAACCCAATAAAGTCATAAAGAACACTTTGGGAACGAATGGGGATATCACAGATAAAGAGAGAGAGAATATGTGGTTAAAAGGCTTATAACAGTTAAATCTAGGTGAATGAGCATTTTTTAATTTTTTTAACTATAAATACTTAGGCATGAAGTTGTAACAAGAAATAAACAAAATCTACATAAAGAAAACTATCAAATCACTCCTTAAAAAAATTATATTTGAAGAAACTCAAAGCTAGCCCATGTTCTCAGACAGGAAATCTTAGCATCAAAAAGATTTCAGTTCATAATGTTACTAGAGCAATTTAATACAGTCTCAAAAAAATACCATCAAGCTTTTAACCCAGAGAAACACAAGCTGAGTAGATATTTTAACTGGAAGAATAAGCAAGGAAAGCCAAGAAAAACGTGAAAAAGGAGCAATGAGAGATAACCTATCAGATATAAACATATTACAAAGCTCCCATAATTAAAATAATGTGGTACAGGCAGATAAATAGAAAGAGATATCAAAGGAAAGAAGCTCAAATGCACCTGGAATTTAGTAATGATACAGACAGTGTCATAAAGTAGGAAAAAGAATTTTCATTAAGAAATGGTAGGGTAACTGAACAGATAGGTTAAAAAGGATAAAATAAGATACATTCTCATCTACACATCAGGAAAACTCCAAATGGATTAATCAATGTTAAATGTAAAAAAGAGATCCTACAAAATTAGAAAAAAAGTTGGGTGAATTCCCCTATAATTAAAAATGAATAAAACTTCCCTAACCATGACTAAAACTCTAGATTCAATAAAAGAAAATATCAATAAATTTGACTACATAAAATTAGAAATTAAAAAAGTAAAACCCTCTGCATAATTAAATAAATAAACAAAACTAAACCAAAAAAGACAACCTAGGAATAAGTATTTGCAACTTACATGACAAAGAAGGGTTAATATCCCTATATAAACAGTTCCTAAAAATATAGAAGGGGAAAACCCAACAACCTGATAGAAGTATGACTAAGAATCATAAACAGAAAATTCACAGAACAGAAAAGCAAACACCACCAAAACTTAGGAAATCAAGCTCATTCTTTAAAATAAAAAGAAAAATGTAAATAAAAATTACAGCAAACCATTTCACTCCTAGGGGACCGGCAGAAATCCAAAAGAATAACAATACAAATACTTAAGTTTAATTTGCTATAGGCATAAAAACACCCTCATATCTTGTGGTTGAGAAGACAAAATGATCAACTACAATGGCAATATTTAGCTAAATTACCTATGCATTTACCACTTGATCCAGAAATCCCACTTCTGGGAATCAACCACAAGGACATACTGGCCAAAAAAGCAAAGATGTAGGCACAAGGCTACCTCACCACTTATATTTGCAAAAGTCTAGAAATGACCCAAATGTTGATTAATAAAGAACTGGTTGAATCTATTATGTTGTACTCACACAATGGACTGCTAAACAACTGAAAAAAGAACTAAGGAATATCTCTACATAGTGCCACAGAATGAACTCCATAATGTATCATTATGTAACAAAATGAAGTTTGAGAAAATCAAGTATAACATGCTAGTTTTTATATAAAAAAGGGACAAAGAAAGATCTACAGATGGATCTGCTTATATTAAAAATAACAATACAGGGACTGGCCCAGTGGTGTAGTGGTTAAGTTCACCTACTCTGCTTCAGTAGCCCAGGGTTCGCAGGTTTGGATCCCGAACATGGACCTACAGA